GCGAACCGATTTTATTACTAATAGCAGTGTTTTGGCTAAAGTAATCTATGGTTTCTAAATGAGTTCAAAAGCAGTCTGTTTTTTTAAACTTAGATGTTTGCCATCAAAGACAGACTATGGCTTGATTCAATGAAGCATGTAGAGGTATTCTCGCAGTATCAATCACATGCTAAAAAGCTAGAAAGAAAAATTCCATTTCAGGTAATTACTAATTACTTTACAAGTTTAACAGTAAAAAGGTTTGATGATTGTTTTTCTGTGCACACATTGCAACTGTAAACACAGATTATCTACATTAAGAAATTTTTTGTTCAGTTGAGAATGCTATCTTTGTATTTATAAGAAAAGCTTTTGTTTTTTATGCAAAATTCAAAAATTTTCTAACTGATTACTGGGTAAAGTTTTTTGCTTGTCTAAAGCAAGTGTACTTTTAAAAATTTTTTGACTTCTAGAGCTGTGAATTTTTAAGCTACTGCAATAATAAAATTCTTTTCACATTGCCTAGTCTGTTTCATTTCTTGCGTTTCTTACGTTGATAGATGATTTTTAATAAGAGTGGAATTATGATCTGCTGAAATAAAAAGTGAGATTCAAAAAAGCATTTCAATCAGTTCAACATCTTTGTGTATATAAAGGTTCTTCAAAAGACAACAGACGAGACTCGAGATATTTGCAAGAAGATAGAAACTTGTTTGGAGAAATATGCATGCTTCCCAGTGGCTCGTCCTGTACTAGAAATTGCTCAGGCAGTTAAAGGCTTTACTATTGGTAAGCTACTATTTCTTGCAACTACCGTGTACCTTGTTTTTGCATGTGCACCTCATTTTTCCTTTTGCAGAACCTAGAGAAGATTCATTGCTACAAGTGAAATCGCTAATAAAAGAACTTCTTTCGAGAGATTACTTGATAACAAAGACAGTAGACAATGAAGAAATTACCTGTGAAGATCTTTTGACGCTTCTCCGTGTATGTTTACAATATTTGTACATTTTTTCTGAGAACCATACTGTTTCTTAGTGAAAATATCAACATAATATAAATACTTTGCCTTTGTCAATAAATGTAAGTATTCCGCAAATTTTCAGAAATATGTGATTTTATTTAATTGCAACAACTCTCCATCAACAGAAGTGGTGCGGAAAGTGAGTCACAACATATCACTTTCTCTTGGTTTTCTTCAGTCATTTTAAAACTTCTTGTCTATTGTAATCGAATTTTGGTGCTAATGCTGATTAATTTTGAAGACTAACGGAGAGGCTAAAATCGAGAATGTGGTACGTCGCTGTAAGGACTACTACGATGACAAAATTACCGAGGTCATTTTTTTACTTTGCAATTTCATCGCAGAAAATTTGAGTCTTTTTGTCATACCACAGTTGAAGCAGTCATCGGCGTGGTAGAAGCCCCTTTATTTTTTATCCTCTATATTGCTAGTTTCTCCTCAGCTACTATTCTTCCTGTAAAGCCCTGCGGGTAAGCGAGGAATCGGACAACTAACAGGAAAAGTAAAAAAACTTTTATAAAAAACATCGTAGATGATGGGACAAAATGGTGAAATCTTGTGAAACAGCTGAATTCTTTACTATGTCTTTCATTGAGCAAAGATACAAAAACAAGTGTATAAGTATAAAAACAGTTGCTCTCTTTTTTTTCAGGAGATTAAGTTATATTGCACAAAAGAAGATAGTATTGAAGATGCGTTTAAAACGGTATTGTTTTAGAATCTTTATACTGTCAAATAGCGATAAATGTTTTGTCAAACAGAGACAAGCAATTATGTTTAGCTAGCTAATTTTTCATTTCAGTGTTCGCTGCATCAAAAAATGTCTACAGAAAACTTCAGGAGACTACATGAAGACGCAAAGGCACATACTCTTAGGCGATTCACGACAGAAGCTCGCTTTGATCCTGATACATCAGAAAAGGACGAAAATTACAGCATCTGTAAAATTCGTTATGAGCATCTGCAACAGTATATTGAGGTTTTTTACCGTATAAGTATTCTTTTTTTTGCACTTTTGACAAAATTAGCAAAGTTTGTCGATAAATTTGCTTAGTCCAAATCGCATATTTCTGTAGGTCACTGGTAAAATTTTTAGCTGATTGAGTGACTATTTGCTTAACCTTTGTAAATTCTGATTTTAATTTTTAGCCTCTTTAAGCTTTTGTAATGGAATGGAACATAAATTTTGCATATTAAGTGCAGGTCAAAATTTAAGGTGAGTATGAAACATTAAATAAATATTCGAAAATTTTTTAACCCGTTTAAAACAAGCTGTTTTGAGAAATCAGAGAAATTCTACTGTAAAAGTTATAAAAGTTTCGCAGTGTTGATCTTGCAAATTTTGATCATAAGTTGATTAATCAAACCAATATAGAAAAACCTTTTCAATTTTTGTTGTTTTAAATTAGCAGTACCATGTTTCTTTTGTTTTTAAACATTTTTTTGTTTTATGTCAAAAAACCGTTTGTTTAAAGGAGGATATGGCGGTGTTTTTAAAGCATTTTCAACTTAGTCAAGCTCTCCTAAAAGTTTGATTTTATTTTCGTTTTAAAGTTGAGATTAAACTCACTAAATAAAAGTGAAAAATTCCAGTGAAAAAGTGTCTTTTTTCTCTTCAGAGTAAATTCGGATATTTACACATCTGGAGTTCTTTTTAAAAGTCTTTTAATTTTTTGAGTGGAACAGCAGGTATCCTAGTGAACCCA